TAGAAATGAATAGCAACGAGGAATGGGTGAAAAATTGACACAGAATGTCCCTTTGTCAGGGACGACTAGAACATCAGAAATTGTGGCACAGTTTGACCTTTCTGTGGTAAAAAATTGCAGGACAGGACGCAATTTGATGATACAATTAGGTGGACAATTGGCTATATGCGGCACCGGGTGATGAGGATAATCTCTTGGAGAAAAGGACTGTGCGCAATGCCGGGTAAAGGGGTATCATCTTTCGGACAAATCGTGGGCTGCACGCGGCGTTGTGTGGTGGCTAGTGTGTACTCCGGAGTGAACTTAGTTCTGATAATTAATCCTAGAACACTAAACGAGAGAGGGCGGGCACACGCTAATGGCCTTGCGTTCGGCTACTGTGGTTACCGAGATAATCTGCTCGATACAGGAAGAAACCGAGGTGGACCTGGCTGAATTTCTTAATCCTTTCAACTAGTGTTTAACGTCCCGTTACCCTGTACATGCATATGGTATGTACTTGTCATATTTTTCATCCCACATCTGCCGAATCGTTTCTTTGTCTTCAGCCAGCCAATCTTGGTAGGTGCATGGCATTGTGTTCCCATTCTGAATCTTCATCCGAGGTGTCATCATCAACCTCCTCAAAAGATTCCGAATCATCGTCAACTTCATTCATGTCTGATTCCTCTTCAGCGTGGATATATGCTACGTGCCTCTGTAGAAATTTATTTTCGTCCAAAGCTTTTCTCACGATGGTGACACGCATAGGGTTTGAGCGTGAAAATAGCATTCACGTTGAATCTTGGAAGTTTTATCTCCGAATTTCAGGGAAACCCCGCCAAGTCAAACAGTTCCTCAAGATCACCAAACGCCGCAGCTCCACACAGCTCCACACGTGCACCGAACCAGCCATTCGCCTCCTCGACAAGTTTACATTCAACGAGATCCGCCTGCAAATCAACCAAGCCCTCCTGAAACACAAGCCAGCCAAGCCCAATCTCTCAAGACAAGACCGGTCAGCTATAACATCGCTACGCCAAGATAAGACCATCCACATCCTCCAGGCTGACAAGGGCAACGTCACAGTGGTCATGGACAAGACAGAGTATGACCGCAAGGTAGCAGACATTCTTGACTCCAGCTGCTACCACATTCTCAAGAAAGATTTGTCTCTGGTATGTAGACGATACCATCGTCATCTGGCAGCATGGGTATGATAACCTCCAGCTCTTCGTAGATCACCTAAATGGGCTTCACAGCAACGTCCAGTTCGCAGTGGAACAAGAAAAATTCGGCAACATTTTATTTCTCGATGTTGAGGTACCCAGAAAGAAGGGTGGCAGTCTCACCTGCCGAGTATACCGGAAACCTCCCACATAGACAGATACCTCCACAGCGTTCCTCCGTCACCCCAAGATCAAGTCTTCAGTCAACCTGGTCCTGGTACCTATTTGGGTTCGACTGTAAGCAATAACCTGTCACTCGATGTTGAACTTGACAAACGACTCAGAAAGACAAACACCATCATAGCGAGGCTGACCAAGAGGGTATGGTAGAACAACGCTCTGACAGAACACACCAAGATCTGAGTCTGCCAGGCTTGTGTTCGCAGTACCTTATTCTCTGGTAGTGAGTCCTGGACTACCTACATGAGACAGCAGCACCGGCTTAACATCTTCCACATGCGATGTCTCAAGTGCCTAGTGACATTCTACAGCGTGCCAATATCTCCGGCATGTATTCTCTGCTGAGTCTACGCCGTCTACGCTGACTGAGACACACATGCCAGACGGCAGGCTACCGAAATACATCCTATATGGCAAGCTGGCATCCGGCACAAGACGTGTTGGCCGCCCCTCACTCCGACTGAAAGACACCTTCAAACGTGATCTGAAGGCCTGCAATATCTCCCTAGACAGCTGCGAGATACAAGCTGTAAACTGAGGTGCCTGGCGCCAGACAGTCTGCAGAGGCGTCGGAGGGGCGGCCGTGAGAAGAGGCCAGCTGAGCAGCAGAGAAGAGGGTGGGGAGGAACCCTTGCCACCCAGGCCTCCTCGCACATATCTGCATCATAGAAACAAGGACTACCACTCTCGTTTTGGTCTGCAAAGTCACAGTAGACGATGCCACAACTCACAACACTCCAAGGGTGCTCTCAGCATCGTCTCCCGAACCCAACCAATGAGCTACAAATGAGTACAATATATTTGTTCAGGAGGTAGACGATGACGAAATCTCGTATGAAGATAGTTTAGAATTGGAAGGCAATGTCACCTACCAAGATTAGCTGGCTGACGCTAGAGAAACAAATAGGGAGATGCGGGAAGAAATATATGACAAGCACGGCAACGAGGGCATGATTAAACATCAGGCCAGGCAAAAGGCAAACAGAAAGACCCTCTGGACAGTCAAACGAGACCTTTTGACAACTATAAGGAGTTTCTGTCAAGTTACCTACATTTGAAGGATAATGAAACTCACCCAGACATTGTGGGCGATCTCGAAAAAAAATTGATAAAGGCATGGAGGTCAACAAAGCCGTGAATAGGGTTATGTCTAAAAATTCTGTTAAATTTGACGGACTGTTTCAGCTAAATGACGAGGAGGAAAATAACTAAAATATAGTAATAATTACAGACAAATAGTTTCACATATATAACATTTAACGAATTTCTGTTAATCACTCTTGTAGTAATTCTTAAATTAGTATGATAACTTTACAACCCCAATGATAACAAAAGAGAAATAAAAACAGTACTTAAACCAGTATGTGAAGTAGACCGAATTCGTTTCGTGTTCTCACTAACCCGCATGACTATTGAGTACTAATTCTCAGGTCGGATACCGGCTGGGAACTTCTGAACATTATTCCATAGCATAATGGTCAATTTGCTGCTTTGCTACGTGTTAACTTCGGAACTGACGTCATGCCGCCTGCCAGGATTCATATTTTTTATGTAATGGTACACCTGCTTTACATTTACTCCACAAAAAAGATCAACGGTAACTCTCCGCTGTTTGAATTTGTGAATTTAAATTTAAATTTGTATACATGTATAGGTTAACGGGACGTAAAACACTAGTTTAAAGGATTAAGAAATTCAGCCAGGGCCAGCTCGGCCAGTCTGTCCGGAGACAGACAATTACCAGTTTTGATACAGAGCCTTCTACTTCATTGGGGCGCCCTTATTAAATTCTCGTTTCTTTTACCACTTGAGATAAGGTTGGTCGGTGGGATAATCCTTTAAAAAAATCCATGTTGCTGGTGTACGGCTATGCACGAACCTCAGTGGGCCACGGAAAGGTGCAGTATACCGAATGTTCACGCGAACGCCGACGGTCGCTGTTGGTCGTTTGCGAAATCGTAAGTTTTTAGGGCTTTTTGTTTTCAAAGGTTATGCTGGCCATTTTTGTCCCTTCGGTTTTAGTGGAGAAAAAAAGCTTTTTTTCCCGTGATCGGGAGCCCAAAATAGGGTCGGTCGGAAATGAGAACCATAGAATATAGAAAGGATACCCTTACGGACGTTAAAAATTATTTTTTTTTAGTTAAACCATTTGGAAGGCAATTTCTGATTCGACGTCACAGTGACGTCACACTTCGGTACGGAAATGAACACGTCACGCGCAAAATTGTATGTGTAAACATTTGTCTAGCATAATGGAGATCAATGTGTGTAAATAGCATCACGGAGAACCAGCGCATGAATCAACATACGCGTGTACTGCGTTCGTTTGCACCGCACTTTCTGGTTCACAGTGAAGTCACACTTCGGTACTCAATACTGAACTGATAAATAGTCTCAAAGGTTCAGTGCGCATTCGGCTTGCTATGTGCAGGCACAGCACATTCCAAAATGTAGTGCCTTGTTCAACCCTGATCAATGGCACTGCGTAGAGGGGAAGCCATTGCCGATTCGGGTCAGTGAGTCACATTCAGAAGCGATGCTCTCCCCTCCCCTAAATGCAAATCATATTTCATAGCAAAAATTTTGCCGTAGATCACACAGAAAGGATTCCAGTCTGGCAATTTCTTTAACTTTTCTCAAATCCCTTATTAAATAATGCATTAATTACAAAATACAGTCTATCTGAAAATAAATTGTGCTTTGGGGAATTTGGGGCGCATCCTAATTCCTTTTAACAGACGTTGCACTCCCAGTGGAGTACAGGTACAAACAAACTTGTGACAAATTCCATAAAAGGTAAGATCTTTAACTTCGTCATTGAAATACTTTTCATCTCTAGAAGGCAAAATGTGCAGAAAACGCGTCCCCTGTATTCAGTCTTGATGGATGTATTAAGGCGAGGAACCTGGAATTCCTGAGTTTAAGCTTGAATCGCATTAGGCTAGCTCTTCTTGGCTTTTGCATTTGAGGAAAAAACACAGCGCCACAACTTTGTTTGAAGTGACCGAAAACGCCTCCATCTGAAAATGTTTTGTTTTGGTGATCCAGTAGGGGCTGGTTAATTTTTAAGTTGTTTTGGGGATGTCCAACAATAAAACAAAACCAAGCGAAAACGGAGGCATTTGTCTACATTTGACTTAAATTCTGGAATGGTATGTCAAACACAGAACTATTTAGGGATGATGACATCCTCTTTTTTTTAAAAGAAAGTTTAAAAAAAGATTAAGAAACGTATGGAGATACATTTCATGATCTTTACAATGATATTTGTAATGTCGACCTGCCAGGCTTGTTATTAGCACAACTTGTATATGGCACCCCCATTTATTCATTCACAAGACTTAGGTCAAGGGTCGTGCATGTTATACTTTCATGTCATGGTCGAAAAAGGTTAACGTGTAATTCCAGAAACAGTTGTAGTTTTCCCCCAGAATCGACACAGTCGGTATGTATTAGGTCTTAATTGTTATGTGGGAGAACAGGATTTTGCCCTTTAATGTAGAGCAAGTATGTATGTAACGTGTGCTCAGCGACTCATGGAAAAACCCCTTTCATGACCGCCGCTGTATCCTGGGAGAAAGATCCTTACTCCTGTAAACAAAGGGTACATCCGCCTACTATAAGGTAGTGCCGCTCATGACACTTGAAAGTATGAAATGAAGACTTCCAGTCCATGTAAACAGGGCTTCCTTTTTGGGCTGTATGGGATATTTTAAGGGGATCAGTTGTTTACCTATTTGTAAATTGTATAGACCACTTGCGGAGTAACAGAATAACTTTGTCTGAGTACATATTTGGCTGCTAGCAGAGCTCTCACTCTCTCCATCTTCCACGCTGCAGAGGTCGATCACAGTAAATGGTTGCTGACCAGTTTGACCCTAAAATTACCTGTTTGGGAGATCAATGTGTGCGCTATCCTCATGCTGACGGTAAGCTTGTAGCTTATCCCTTCTGGTAATGAGATTTCAGTTGAGTAAATCAATTATTACGAGGTGTATTTTCTGGCTGTTTAATGATCGTTATTGAAACGTTCTGACGTGTGTATGTGCACTATGCATGCAACCAACTCATGTACTGTACATGTACATTTCTATTGCAGTAGCCTGGCTGTGGGTGTAGAGAGCACGCTGGCTTGGGGGTTTTCTTTTCCGTTTACTACCGTGGCTGGGCTGGGGTTTGTGTTGACTACTGTAATATTATTCTGGTTGACTGCCGATGATAGTTCCTGATATCATCGTGGGCTGGGGAACAACTAAGAAATAAAAGCCTGGTCAAGAGCATACCGTACCCCTGTGGTGTTGAGTCATTTCTCGAGTGGTACACATGCAACCTCGTCACACCAAGGTGGAGTTCACACCCCCTTCCTTGACAGGAGCCGACCCGCCCCTTTTTCCAGGACAGTTATAAATCATAAAATATTAACCTTGAAGAGATCAATTCGAGTAAACTTGGGGCATTTAGCGAGGATAAGGGTGTAAATTTGGGTGAATAGTTGAGCATAGAATCAGACTTTATTGGAGTGCTCTAAAATGTACTGTATACACGTATAGGGTTGAACTTAAGGTTTGTTGGATTGTTATTCATTACTTACTTTGGTTTATTGCAGTCAACCACACAATTACACAACCAAATAACAGCACAACCGCTACATTGTTAGACAGTATTACACCTTATGACAGTGGTTATACTAGCATCAAGTGGAAGTGGAAAAATAAGCAGAGCGAGCTCAGATAAAGAGTTTGTCCACAGTCCTGTCCATCTTTTTAGATACAAGTTCATAGGTACAAGTATTGTACATGCTGCGCACATGCATGCACCACGTTTAGCCATTTTCCGTGCGCATCTTGCCCTCGCTGTCAGTTCTTCAAAACATGTCCCTGTCACAGCTAATCCATTTTGGCTTTACAAGCCATCAAGAAGCAGCTGGCCTTCGAAAAGCAAAATGCAAATTTTGTGGTAAGTTGTGCATCGAGAAGATGGGCACAACTTTTTGCGGCACCTTTGGAGGAACGCTGCCAAAACAGTGGTGTTAAATTTTAACACCATTTTTTAAAAATTCTTTTGGAATGGGATTTGGTGTTACGGAGAATAGTGGAGGGTTTCAGTCTGGCACACTTTGACCTTTGGCCTAGAAATTGGAAAAGGTCACATGATAAGCACAATATGATCATAAGGATATGAATAGCAATGAGGTGTAGGGTCAAAATTATGGTACAGGTTGACTAAGAGAGAATAGGAACTAGGGAACGGTCAAAGAATCTGGTATATGTTGACCTTTCCTATGAAAGAAATGATATTTAAAATACAAGATTGGGCATATCGCGTGATGTCATAGAAAAATACCTACTGGCCCAACGTGTATACCAGGCACGAAATGGGACAGAAGGGTACCCCCCAACAAATCCAATCCGTGTACACACTGTAGCCTCACACCAACGAGGAGAAAGGTCTTGCCCTGGGCCTGAACTTAGCGCTAGCCCTTCGGTCCTTACCTACGGAAGAGATTATTCAAGCCACCGAGCCCACTCTCCGTCACTTTGACAAGTCCACTGCCGAGGAGATCCGTCTCGAGATCAACCAAGCCCTCCGGAAGCACAAGACACCCAAACCCAACATCTGCAGAGAAGATCGGTCAGCTATCAAGTCTCTACGCCAAGACAAGACCATCCATATACTCCCTGATGACAAAGGCAATGCTGCGGTAAATATGGAGAGAGTTGAGTATGACCGCAAGGTCTCGGAAATACTCGACTCGGACGGCTACCGGGAGCTCCGCAGGGACCCTACAGCGTCAATTGACAGGAAGCTGTAGCAGAAGCTCCTATCCCTCCACCGTTCCGGTAACACCACGGAACTACTCTACCGGCAGCTGCGTCCATCCATTTCAAGGTGCCCCAAAATTCTTTGGTCAGCCCAAGATTCGCTCCACTTCGCCCCATAGTAGACATCTAGCCAAGATTCTCCATCTCCTGGTCGGCAAGACTTAGCATCGCATCAAGATCTGGGACCAGTTTTCCTCTATCTTCCAAGCTTCCAGCTTTGATGTTGTGTCACTTTTCACCAATGTCCTCACTTCTGATGCCGCCACCATAGCAATGGACAGACTCTAGGCCGACATCACCCTCAAGGATTGCACCGACCTCACCCGAAACTAGCTCCACGACCTCCTCATCACTTGCGTCCACTCAACCAGCTGCCGATGGCGGGACAAATACAAATTCTTTCACCAGTTAGCTAAAACTTGTATAGGATCGCCTATATCCCCGGTTCTGGCTGACATATTCGTTGAAGAATTCGAGCAGACTGCCGTCGCCACGGCAGACCATCGTCCCAAGATCTGGCTCCGGTATGTGGATGAGAAATTTGGATCACCTCAACGGGCTCCACAGCAGCATCCAGTTCACCGTTGAACAAGAAAGAAATGGCAGCATTTCCTTTCTTGATGTTGAGGTGTCTAGAAGTTAAGATAGCCGCCTCACCCGCCAGGTGTACCGCAAACCCACTCACACCAACAGATACTTCATTAGCTCCTCCTTCTCTCACCCCAAAATCAAGTCGTCTGTCAACCGAGCCCTCGTTCGCAAGGCTTACAACATCTGCGACAAGGAACACCTCGCCAAAGAACTGCACATCTCCATAGCATTGCCACGCAACGGCTTCAAGCCCTAGCAGATCAAGACTCAAGACCCAAGACCGAGATCCCCTCAGGGTGCCCTATACCCAAAGCCAACTAGATAAGGCCCCTAGTTCTGTTACTCTCCCCTACCTAGGTTGTACTTTCCCCCACATCCTGCGTATCCTGAGCAAGCATGATATCAAGGTATTCTTTACAGCCCCTCTCAAGATCCGCGGCATGCTGACATCCCACAAGGACCGACAAGATGCGCACCACCGACCATGGGTGTACAAGATCCCCTGCCAATGCGGCAAAGTATATATTGGTGAGACTGGTAGGGACTTCCCCACCAGACTCAAAGAACACGAAGCCCATGGCCGGAAGGGGGAGTATGAGAAGTCTGCGATAGTCAAGTATTTCCACTCATCACCAGCATCGAGCACTGGTACCCAAGACGCACCAGAGAAGCCTTGGAGATTCTCAAGCATGACACCGTTCCCCAAGAGACCGGCTTCTCCATCAGTGACATCTGGCAACCCCTGCTCACCTCCCATCCAATGGGTCCTCTTCACCCTAGGATACCCCACCCCTGCCTATAGGTCTCCTATACCCCCGGCTACCTCACCCCGCCCAAACCTATGCCTAACTGACTCTCACTGACCTGCTGGATCCCGTCCCACATGAGCACCAGCTGAATCCTCCACTAGCGTCCTCGTCACACCCCACTGCATCCAGTAACCTTTTATAAACAGCTGCATCATGAGTATCTCTTCAGTCTCCTGGCGACGGACTGAGCACGCAGTCTGAAACGTTGAATATACTCCCGGTTCTTTTCAGAACCACACATACTCCAAAGAGATATATTCCTTCACATGGTGCTACCGCAAGCCTTTCCACATATTGTTGTCTTTCACCATGAATAGCCTGAAATTCCATCTTACTTCGCTCTACGGGGGGCCCACTACATCCAAGGTCAAGTTCTACGAGCGCGACACCATCAAACACTTGAAATATGTCAAAAAAAGAAAAGATGCAGAAATTTCGACACCATTCCTCCAGGACTTCGCGATCCAGTCCGCAGCTACAAGTCCCGCTCAATCCTCCACAAGGCTAACTTTACCCTGTTCCGCCATCGCATCGGTGCTCCAGATCCAACCCCAGTGATTTTCTCTCTTTCTTTTAGACTGGTCTTCACTCTTTGAGAGATATTTTCTCTCTTTGAGAGTGTTTTTCTGTCTTTCAGAGTGGTTTTCTCTCTTTCAGAATGATTTCTACTCTTGAGATTGGTTTTCACTCTTTTATTTTAGACTGGTTTCCACTCTTTGAGAGTGACTTTCACTCTTGAGAGTGGTTTTCACTCTTTCTTTTAGACTGGTTTTCACCCTTTGAGAGAGATTTTCTTTCTTTGAGAGTGTTTTTTTTCTCTCTTTGAGAGTGGTTTTCACCCTTTGAGAGTGGTTTTCGCTCTTTGAGAGTGGTTTTCACTCTTTGAGAGTCGTTTTCCCTCTTTGAGAGTGATTTTCAACTTTTGAGGATGATTTTCGTTTTGCTTTTTTATTGATCATAAAAACGCAAAACATATATTAGAAAGGAAAAGCGCGAATTATACACATCTAAGGAGGTTGATAAAACGGCAGATAAATGGAAAGTATAAAAGAAAACACTTCAGAAAAAAGTGGGGCCATGAAGAGATGTAAAAAGATGGTCACTATACATCTCCATTTGAAATAATTGCTAGGGTTAACAGAATTAGAATTGAAATTTCCATTTTTTATAATGAAGACCAAGGGTTTGATTTTTGATAGCAATCTTATATTCTATATGATATTGATTTTGTGAAAATAGTCTTTACCCAAAAAAGGAAGGCATTTGAATCTGGAATTTACACCTATATCAACAAAACTTAGCACGAAGAAAAACATGAGTCAAAAATTTGTTATGGGGAACTCCAAAAAAGAATTCAAATTTCCCAAACTGAATTGGGTCTTTGAGATTTGGCTGAAAAAGACATGAGGTCTGACAAGATGGGTGAAACATGATCACACTCCTAAAAACTATGACTCAAAGTTTCAGGACATCTATCACAAAAAGTACAGTTAGGAGAAACCTTTCTTCCAAGTTTAAAAAGAAAGTTATTGAAGGCAATAGCCCCATGAAACATCATTTCTGAGAGTGGTTTTCATTCTTTGTGAGTGATTTTCACTCTTTGTGAGTGACTTTCACTCTTTCGGACTGGACTTATGAGGGATTCACTCTTTTTAGAGTGATTTTTCACTCTAATGCCTTTAGAAAGAATAAGAATCCCCATCCCAGTCACACTTTGCTTTTAAAAATGACGTCTGCGTCGTGGAGAAGTTGAATTCGAAAACACACACATTCACATCACCAATGATTTGTTCATTGTACAGATGCATATTATTAGAAGCCCAGTCGTCGGGTCTCACATGCCGATACATGCATGGATTACAACGCATAGCCTGCAAAGACGAACAATGAATGTTTGCCCGTGCAAATGAAGCGTAGCGGTTTTGAATCTGTTGTTTCATTGTCAGTTTGTACTCAGCCGTTAAAAAGGACATGTTCAGTGTGGAATAGGTGCCATTGCATGCTAGGGAAAAAAAGCGCAAACATTGTCCCAACCAATGTAGACTGTATTCATGCGTCGGCCATCTTTAAATATTTGAAACTGTTTAAGTTTGGGAACTTGACAAGGGGTAGTGAAATACAAATTTAGGTTACATTTTGTTTAGAATAATTATTATTTGGAAACACTGAGAGTGAGGTTTGGAACTCAAAATAGTTTGGTACCATGTCATTTAACAGATTACATTGAAACACAGTTTGTCATGAGTATCGTCTATTTTATAGGGCAGTTTGAATTTTACAACCATAATATGTAAATAGTAAATACTGTGAGGCACATAATTTAAGCAGTCTCGAATATGTAAGAAAACTAGAGTCCTACTCCATAAAAACTGAATGTTTTTGCTCTGTTCAGATTAATATTGTAAATATCTTAAATGCACTGACTGTTCGCAATGCCCATTTTTTCTTTTATGGATTCACGGGTTGTTGTCATAGCAGTTGTTGGTATTCAAGCCGTTGAAGAACTACACGTGAATCAGCATCGTGCCTGAATCTTGTTGAACTATAAAAATACACTACATGTTAGGCAAACCAGGCTGACTTCGATTTTCTTCTGATTTGCATAGACAGTATTTGATCATGAAACGGGATGCATTGCCATGCAGTGTTTAGTGAGATCTTTAACTTAGGCAAGGGAAAACCAAATTTTCATGGGGATCCAAAAATTTAGGGATATTTTCATATATTCTTTTATGGCCTTTATGGGAGCTGAGGCTATATTTGGGGGCTTTTTATTCGCTTTGGGAAGGAAGATGAGGAGAGCCGAAGAATCGCCCCTCTCTCATTGATAAAAAAATTTGTTGGCTGCTTTTTTGGGGGGGTTATAACCCGTTGGCTGCCCCGATCTGTCCGTGATAACCGGATTTATGTATGCCTTAGGCCTATTGTAGCGCATAAGCGCGCTTGCTACTGGTTAGCAGTGCTAGTGGCTGTTTACGCAGCGCCCCTAGTCGGCTGACTGTGTGGTCGAGTTCTTGACACGGGTTTCTTGTTCTCGCGTTCGAACGGCGGAAACACGACTCATGAACACTGTTCTCGGAACAGGATCACACACCACCTCCTCGTCAGAGTTTTACAGAAACACACGGAAAAACTCGTGGGGTTTCGATTTTCAAACAGCCACAAAAAATTAGCGACATGGCTCACAAAACGGGAGACAATGGGAAGTTTTACAAAATTAACAACAATTTTCCATAGCACAGAAATGAATATTCCTTTTTAAACAGAAAAGAGTTCAGCCCAGCTTTCCAAAGTTTACTCTGAAAGAACTACATGGATGCTGCATGTTGCATGCAACAACAAGCGATAGCCGGGTGTACGTTCCCGGCGTTCGAGCGGCCGACTGACGAACAGCAAATCGAGCGGTTCGTGAACATACGAGAACCAGCCCTCCGAAGTTAGCCTGTGATGCGACTTTTTTTTACCTTCACTTTTTTCCTAGTAATGATGTACCTATAACGGGCAATATCTGCATGCACACGTTACGCAGGCCAATACCAACACTAGAATAGACTGGGCCCTGGATTTTCTCAACTGTTTAAAGCATTTTAAGCTTGTACATGTACGCAGGATTTGAGACAACCTCGTTTGTCTGGTTCCCAGATGTAAATGTATAGTAAAGAAATGACATAATATGACAAAGAGTATCCAACTAAATGTTTGGGGAACTAGAGGGACTCCTTTACCACTGATTACAGTACATAGGCCTATTACTCAGCCGTACCCCATCAAAAAGCGTTAAAACTAGAGTTAGTGGTTGTTAAAACAATAACCACAGAGCTGTTTCGGATTTCGAGTGGTTGAGCAGGTAATTGTATATGACTTATGAGCTGTGACGATTTTGTTCTTGGACCCTATCTAGCAGCTGCGCTAAGAGTGTACACCATATCGTCAGTCACATCGAAAAAAGGGCCGAAGACTAGCTGTTGAAAAAACATGTACACTGTATACAAAACCTTTGGGGGGAAATAAAATAATGCAAAATCAATAAAAATCACAAGATAGCGTCACCAATCTGGAATAATTCTTGTATCAGGGTCTTTGTTGGCTGTAACTTTGCTAACGATCAAACATCGCGAAGTTACCAAAATGGTGGCTTGAAATCAATTACAAAATTGATGGGCTAAAAGCACATGCAGAAACACTGCTCCTGTTCATGTCACGTGATTTGCGCTAAAACTGAAAGTTTTATGATATATTACTTGATATTCTGACAGAGCAGAAAATTATACGATTTCTATTTCGTTCTCATAGTATTCAGTAGTAACTGAAGTAAAGGACTACTCACTCATTATGGTCAACAATAGTATTCAGTAGAAAAACGTGTACAAAACCTATTAAGAAAAAATGCAGCTTTCATCTCATGTCACGTGACCCCCGATGATGTCATTTTGACGATTTTGTCCTGGGACCCTCTGCCCATGGTATACGGGTGTACATAAATGGAATAAGTCAGACTGACCAGAGTGCCGAAGACTTGCTGTTGAGAAACGTCTACAAAACCAATGGCGAAAAATTAAATATCCAAAAAATCAATAAGAAAAAGGCGATGATGTCATAAATTAAGCAAAATTTCTTTTATCAGGGTCTTTGTTGGCTATTACTTTGGTGACGATCAACGATCTCAAGTTATCGAAATGGTGGCTTGAAAACATTTACGAAGTCAATGGGCTGAAAACATACACAAAACTGCTCCTTTAAGTTCATGTCATGTGATTTGCGCTTGAACTGAAATGACTTATGAAATATTACTTGATATTTTGACTCTTGGGTATATTTCAAATCGAACAACAGCGTCAACCACACGATTTCTCTTTTATTATCATAGTAATCTGGAGCCGAAATTGAGGACTGCACTCACTAGTTAGGGTTTAGTAGAAAAACGTGTACGAAACCTAGGGAGAAAAACTGCAGCTTTAATCCTAGGTCACGTGACCCCCTGATGATGTCATTTTGATGATTTTGTCCTGGGACCCTCTCTCCATGGTGGTCTTTGAGTATACATGAATGGAATAAGTCTTATTGACCAGAGTGCCGAAGGCTGGCTATTGAAAACGTGTAAAAACCGATGGGGAAAAAAATAAATATCCAAAATTCGAGAAAAAGAAAAGTTAGGTGATGACGTCATCATGACGGAAGAGGGTGGCACTTACGAAATTTTCAGAATTAACGAGGACTAACTCCCTTTGGAAGCTTCACGAGGGTGACTTTTTGAGTAGCATCTGATAGAATAGTTCCACCGGTTCCGCCGGGCGAATTAGACTTAATAGGAGTAAAAATTGGTACCTGAAGTGGCTAGGGAGCCACCCATAACGAACTGGCATCCCATCCAGGAGGAAATAGAAATGTTCTTGCATGTGTTTTCGCAAGGAATCCAGATATAAACACCCAACTGGCTCAAACCAAATTAAACCGACGGGTAATGAATACGGGTGGCTTTGAGAGCTGGTGGGCTGTTACAGGGGACACGTCTTATTTGGTACTGGAAGAGGTAGCGTAACGTTGGCATCGATATAACTTCATCGGTCTTTTTCATCGCACTTTTGTCATCGCTTATGTTCCATCACTCTTTTTTCATTCATTAAAAGAGATCGATTGATCGATGTAGGGGAATGATCGATAGATGTAGCAGAACTATCGATGTGTTACCTCAAAGTTTTTGCTTCTTTGGCGTTCCATACTCAGCAGCCCGTGTTGGAGGCATACGGCACTCCAAACGGACTCACCACCAATAGGTTTAAGTGGAAAGCCGTTTGTCTGGGTTCACCAAATGGTTGGTTGCCGGGGTGGCCTTTGCGAAAGTCGGTCGGCGCCACAATATTTTTTGTAAAACTTTCCTAATTAATCTGTTGATTCGGATATGACGGCAAGTCATAACTTTCCTAACCACTATATTGGCAAAATTTGTCCTCGTGACGTAGAAAAGAAAGGTGTGTGCGTGTGTGTACCATCCGTTCGTTTTGTCGTAGGCCTACATTTAAAGAAATGCCGTCGTTTATTTTCAACTTAGCCTACATTGATGAAAACAGTACGTTCATTCCTATATTTGAAATAACTGCAGCAACTTAATTGTACTCGACAATTCCGCTCCAGTTTGATATTGGCCGGTTTACTTATCGATTACTGACCAAAAAAATCATCATTTTTTTACAACTCTGGTTAGACCCCGTTATGTGAGATGATTTCATGTTATTTTAATTAACCTAGTCTCGTGAGGTCTCTTTTATTGTGGAAGGTTCTTACAGGCACCTTGGAAAGATGTTTAGACGGCAGCGCTGGAAACGAAGGCTAACCTACCTGATTGCAACGGCATATCTATTGACGTTCATAGGCCTGTTTGTGCAGCACGTTCCAGATACGACCAGACAGAAAGGTTAGCTGTATCCTTGTTTTCTAGACAACAGCCATGCGTCAATGTTGAAGGGCAGTTGTAGTGCAATAGTTGATGTGGTTCTTACAATTGTTCCGTTGTGTCTCTTTTAACTTGACGGAATCTGCCATATAAGTTCCACATCAATTCGGTGCTTCAGATCCAGATTATTTATTTCAAGCTCAATCAAGTTCAAAATATTCTTCCGTGTTATATCTAACCTTAATTGGATAAATTCTTCCAACAAAGTGGAGACACATTAAAACATTTCCTAGTCACACGGAGCCATGTTGCATACAGCCCCTCCGTTTTGCTTGCATAACACCCTCACCAGGCTGGATAGAATAAGTGTAAGTTTGGCCCTAACACTGGTTTTTAAGTTTTAGTGTGTCACTTTAGAGGCATTTGAGGCCCTTTGATTTTCATGCTAATGCCAACGAGAAATGACAATGATTTAAAATGTCATTCTCTTAAAAGCGATTTATTGTCTGTGTTTATCTTTTCACAGTGTCTGTGTTTATTTTGTGCGTTTAAGTAGTAAAGTACATCACGAGACAGCTGTGAAGGATGTTTATGGTGTGCATATCTTGTAAACCAGAAACACAGTTTGGGGGGTATGTAGCCAGTCGAATTAGAAGTCAAGAAATTCCTAGTGTCTGTACTGAGCGCTTCGAGGGTGACTCAATTTCTTCTCATATGGTTGTGGACCCATTCTTGCACAAAAAAACAAAGTATAACACCGCCCTCTTTGACGCTTGGTCAGGGAATTACAGTCTCCTCTTCACTCCTCTGATCAAATTCCATATCAGAATCCTTTTCAGACTAAAACATATTGCATTGAAATCTGGATCACGTGCATGTAGATTTGCGTTGGCAATACTTTCAGACAAGGCCTTGTGACGCATGCATTCACTGGACGTGTCTGACTTTTTCTTGAGCCTGGCGTCACCCATTTTATCATCCGATAGGTAAATTACCTTTCTTATCGGGGATGGATGAAACTAACGCTGGACGGCCAAGACCAGAGATTCTCGACAATACGAGTAGGAGAGAAGTTGTGACAAAAGACAAGGTACTGTTGTAACATGTCATGCATGATGTGCCTTTGAAATCTCCTCTCTCTAACTGCATTCCACTTGTTTGAAGTAACCCTCGGCCACAAGAGAATTTGCCCCATTAGTATTAAAGCTCCTCTGTTGGTTACGTTCTGTGTCACAGGACATGCTTTTGATAGTCTTAATCTGCAATTGGAGATTGCAGAAACCTTGCAGATGTCCTTGTGAAAGATAACGGAATTCCCGTTTTATGGCGCCAAACAGGCGTTTAATGGTGTGTATCCCGATGATAAACATTATATACGTTAAACAATTTGTGTTTAGTTTATAAAAGCGTCAAATGTTCTTGGTTTTTACGGCCAGAACTAGTGGGGCTGACTGGCTACTTTCAATCAGACAGTCTGACAGTCACTTAATAGTCAGATTGTCAAATACATTTCCTCGTTGTTCTTGAGAATTGTCTGTAGAGATTCAATTACTGACTTTTTGACTTTATTTCCTGTCTGTATACTCTCCCTTTCTGAGTCAAAATAAGCCAGTCAGCATGGGCCCATCTTAAATTTACTGATTTCAAACAGCACTATTTTATGCCCAGTGTATCAATCAAAAAAATTACAATAAATCCCACTTTGAAATTGATGACATAGGCAGCACAATTCCCTTTATCCATTTTCCGCAGGAAGGGAGTAAGATAACGTTGGCACATCCAGAGCCCACTGAGGCGGGCTGTATGGCCTTAGATAACGTGGACAGAGACAAGGCACTAATCCTCGGTCATCGTAGAAAAGACAAAGGTAAAACCTCTTCATTAAATCTTTGCACAGAAAATTTAACCTTTTCCTGCAAACCAGAGGGAAGGCCAACATTTGGCTTCCACTTCTCCTAGCATCCAGGGAATAACCCAAAAGCTTCCTCAACATCCTTCGGCATCCACGCTTCAACGCCTAGGGCAACGACTAGAATCTGGCATCCTAGTCTCCATGACCATCACCATTCGCACCCAACACGTCAGGCACAACCAACCACCAATTTCCCAAACCCCTTGAATGACAGCGTCATCATCTACTAGTTGGGTTGTTTAGAGTACACTAGTTAAAACGTCGAGTTTCAATTTCTCGGTTCTTTTCAGCACCCCACATCTGCCTGAAAGAGATGGTCCTACAGTACTACCACAGACTTTGACCAGTTGTTCACGATCATAGTCAACTGTAGATACTACTGTTCTTATAAAGAAAGAGGTTCAAAATTTTCTTCTAATTGTAAGATTTGTAATATGATTTCTGTGAAATAATTCTTCAGATTTTGATTGATAGTTGATTTTAAATATTTTCTAGTGCTAGTTCCAGTTCTTTAGTTCCACTGTACATAGAATACATTCCATGTCTGTCATCCAATCCCTTGACGCACTGAAAATGCCGCAAAAATTTGTAACATTTAATATTGTATACTGATTAACCAGTCGTGGGAGGAATCAGTTGTTCTTTTTAAACCAATATGAGTGGTCTTCTGTGTCGTCCAGGGGACTGCTGCCTGAAAAGTGACTCTTGAAAAGCTTTCTTAGGCCTATTTCCTTCATTTTTATACCCAGGCTTTCTGACGATAGGTGTGACTACAGCGGAAAGAAAGAATACCAGCTACTTGGACCAGACTTTGAGAGCCCTCATCAAACACACCAACGACACCGAAAGGTCGCAGATGCGGATCGTGGTGTTTGCGTGCGACTACCACGAACGAGGTCGAAAGGAGGCTTTGAAAGTGGTAGGCAATTACTCCGAGCACATTCAGAGCGGCCTCTTGCAACTCATCATAGCACCGAGGTCTTTCTACCCCTCCTTCTCGAACCTGAAGCATACCTATGACGATTCAGAGGAGCGAGTGCAGTGGCGCTCCAAGGAAAATATCGACAGCGTCTTCTTATTCGCCTACTGTGCCGGTATGTCCCATTACTTCCTTGAGATGGACGACGATCTGGAAGTATCCCGTCCAGGATACTTGCAGATAATCCGGGACTTCATCAAACGTCACTCCGAGGACAAGTGGGTGTTGATGGACATCGGTTCCACTGGCTCTGGCAAGCTGTTCCGTGACAAGGACCTCCTGCCTTTGGCCCGGTTCTTGGTGCAGTTCTATCAGGAACAGCCAGTGGATTACCTCTTCCTTTACTTCAAGGAACTTGGCGGTCACAAGAAACGCTTGGCGATCAAACCTACCCTGTTCAAACACTTGGGAGTGGTATCCACGCTGGACTTAAAAAACACAAAGAAGGAACACAGAAAAGCAAAGGCCAGGACCTATGTGAAAAAGGTCTAATAACTAGCTGCATAAAATATGATACCAGTGGCGTATTCAGGTTTTGGTGGGGGGGGGGAATTCAAAAGCAAATAACCTTTCGGGCTCATTCACTTTGGTAATAGGGGGGAGAAATATACCCCATTTATTTTGATAAATGACTATACAGTTTCGTTTCTTTCCTACTCACCTAAGAAGTAATTTTCACTTTTAAAAAAAAATTAAAAATCACAAAATACAAAAATAAAAGTTGTAGATAGCCATTCAACCCATTCTCCTTGGTCTTCACGAGCCACCATATAACTCTCCGTAACTGCCTATGTGTGAATTGAAGTGACCGCGCGGCCATCTTAGGATATTCAATACAATAGTGCCTCAAGCTTCGGTCCATTTACTAAGTGTATTAATGCACGGCGCTAAAGCCGGTGACTTGGAAGCTGCCCGTGCATTGAATAGCCTAAGATCGCGCACAGTCACTTCGATTCGCAGAGCAGAGCTGCTCTTGGCCGCGGTTTAAAAAAGTGCAATATACATGCACTACAAGGAGATTCGTCCCTGTAGCAGATTAGATTTTGGAGGGGGTTAAATTGGTCAATTAATTATGTCTTAATCAAAGGTCAAACTTAGGGGACTAACTCTCTTCTGCTAATTAGGCTGAAGACACTGAAAATTCTGTCTCTTTGTAACAAAATTTACACCACATGCTTTCGATATTGTCATATTTGCATTGTTCCGTCCTCTGGGCAGATCAAATTTTGGAGGAGGCTAAATCGGTAAACTAGTTATGTCTCAATTAAAGGTCTCATGGGGGAATCCCTCTCTTCTGCTTGCATAGTGCAATAGGTATTAAACGTGGCTGAAAATACTGCCTCTTTAAATCAAAATGTACACGACACACTTTCAGTATTGTCAAATTTTACTTCATATTTGGAAGCGTAGAAAGGGGTTCCCCAAATGCGCCGGTTCACCTCCAAAATTTAATCTGCCTTGAGGACTAACGAATGAAAATAGGAAATAAAATTGGACAATATCTAAAGCATGTGGTGTACACTGTATGTGGTGTACTGCCGTTCCAGTGTCAGGTTATCAGGTTAAACTTACATTAATTTATTTGTAAGAGGGACTTTCAACTTCTTTCAGGCAGCACACTTACGTACATTTCAGAAGTCCAAATAAAGTTTTGTTTGGAAAATTTTAAAAAACAATTGTTGGGATCCTGAACCTCTTCTGCCTCTGTCCTGCTTCATGCCTTGCTCAATTTCTACCGTCATGAGCCACACATTATCTACCGGGCAGACCCTTTTCCCCACCGGACATTATTAATATGACATTGATATGTTGGTTAGTTCTTGGTGTTTCTTGATCACCACTAGAATGAACTAACCCTCTTCCCCCGAGAGCATTCTCAACAGGAGCACTTTTCTCTAGCTTTTTCATTAGATCATTTTAGAAAACATACGTGTCCATAATAGTACAGTGGCAACAATAATTGCATGGATTCCCAAAATCACAACGGTTATTTGTGGATACTTAAATGTTAATGTGTACAAGGTAGATATTTGGAGATGTACATGTGGGTTCAGACATAACAGTCATGTTTCATCTCATTCATTAATCTCCTAAGCACTGTCATGCAGTTTAAAAGAATTTTATAAAGTAATATTTTGTACTCAGACACAGACAAAAATCATTTACTCATATAAACTTTCGAATAAAATTAGCTGAGTTCACAGACGAAACCAATCTCTACAATTCAGCAACCTATAGACAGGGCTTAAGGGTGAACATTTGCTATCAAATAGTGTTTCCCAAAGAAATGTGGAAAAAGAATAAGGTTAAAACAAACCTTTTTCAGCTCCATTTGCTTTATAAAGGGTCAAACAAGTTGCTAAAATAGAGCTGTGAAGTGATGTTTGTATCAGACAAAACACCTGGCAACTAAGGATTACAAATACATGAAATGGTTTAATTGCTGGTTTTATCACTGAGAAATCGTCCCAGGGGTTCACTGGAGTTTCCTTTTGATTACTTGCGAGCTTACACGTCTCGAACTAGCAACCTTTTTTCGAAGGTGTAGATCTCATGTTATTCTCGAATCATGTGTAAGGAGTTAGCTCATATAAATACGTTGTCGTGTATTATCAAACCCACTGTAACTGCTCTTATGATATTAGCGCTTTATGTTGATACTCCAAATGTTACATTTCTAGGAACGTCTTTTTGGTCCATGTCCGCAATCAAAACCCAAAAAATTCAGACAGAGACTCGTTTTATGTTTGTAGTAGCAGCGCTTGCACGCCGGCTGGGGCAGAACCTGAGTCCCTGCAGGTATGAGCATGAACTCTTGGTATTAGGGATGAATACGACGACTCAGTTTATAAAATCACAGATGTATTTTATTCCTAGTTGATCACCCAACAGACAACCCCAGACACCATGGGTCCTAGGTCCCCAAAGAATGGTCCGCAGGCCTCGGCCTGAAGCCGCTGAGCAGGCAAAAGTTGACGGAATCTATCTCAGGCGGAAGGTCAGACCCTTTGTTCATAAAGCGTCGGCCATAGAAGAGGAGCGTGCACTGAACACTGCCGCGAGCTCGGCAAAACGAGCAGGGAATGGCGTATCCAAACCCGCGGTATAAATAGTTAAAACAGACAATACCCCTTTAATCATCTTGAAGCTACCCTATAATTAAATCCAGAATTCGACAAAGACTAAACCAAAAGTATCTTTGGGAATCCCAGCCATCAAAGAAACCAGAACTGTTTCCAAAATAGAGCTTGAAAGCATTCATGGAGCGAGCTGTCGGAACCCTTGCGCGGCCTGCCTATAGGGATTTTACATTGGGCCGTCCTATCACATTCGATAATTTTCAGAAAAATAATTCCTTACCGAAACCACTCCATGAAACACTCATTATGGAATTTTACCTTTGTCTTCCTCAAGTAATATATTGGGAAAGTCACCTGGAGATGTGTTACAAAACGAAATAACGACCTTTCACGTCCAGCGATATCGTACCCAGGTCTCCTTGTTCATACGCGTTTGTTTTCACTCGGCGTGCTATCTTGAGAACGAGATTGTACAACCTTGAAAAGATTTACATACCTGCTGTCGATTCCTTTGAGTTGACATCACGCAGTGTTGTCAACAAAGGTTGGATAAAATATTAGAATAATATAATAATAATTAGAATATTAGAAGTAGAATATTGCTTTATGTTCATTACCTTATAAATTATCCAAATGTGTAAAACATTTTGAGCTGTTTTTATTTTGGCTTTTACCAACAGGCTACCGAAAAATTTCAAACTGTAAATACATGATTGTGTTCATTTGCGTACAAGACTGCCGCATTGCACTGTTCTTCATGTATTTTAGGTTTTCGGAAGTGATGGGTCAATTTTTGGCAAGATATTTCTCTATTAGATCAAGTAATTTCTCAGTTTCAACAAATGATATACATGTATTAGCAAATATTTTTCAAAGTCTTTTTCTGAGTAGGATTTTTTAAGAAGAAAGTGAAAAAAAAAAAATTACAAGATGTAAAATCTTTGCGCGTTATTTTTGCTATCCAAGGGGGTTCCGGAAGTGCGCCATCAGGGGTCAACTTTTAGGCTCTATAGCACTGTATCTCTTTAATACAGATCAGTGCTCTAAAGGCGTAGGAACACAATCATCTAAGTTTGAAAGTAATCAGATATGTTGCTATGCAACAATATAAACATAAAGGAAAAATGTTGAGGGCGTGCTCCACTTAAGATTAAACACGGGTACCTCCCCACATTTTTATGCAATTTCCATTTCTATTTTGGGAGTAAGATGACACATCGTCATTCAATAATTGGAACCCCTTCATCAGATCCACTTATCAGATTTACCTATTACCCGTACATTTGCCCCTTTGAGAAATTCTGATTGACCTGTGTCAGTAAGCATGTGTCACATCCAAAAAGAGTGTATCGATGAAGCGTACAATGCTAAAGTTTCCGCAGTGGTTCAAAAAGGGGCGGCCTACGCATGGCTGGATATTTCTGAGCGTTCAGCTTCTTGAAAAAATCGTACACCTTGTCGACGGGAAGTTTCGCGCCAAATTCAACCAAGAGGTACTTGAGTTGTGCTTCATCCCGTCCCCCTAGGCGGATCAGGTTGCCTGTTGTTGGCCTGAGACCGAACTCGAGGGTCACCCAATACCTGGAACCCCGAGACTTGATGAAGTCTCGAATAGCAGCGGCGTAGCCGGAAACCGCCTGAACGCGGCCGTCCAGTTGCAAGTAGTAGTTGGACATGTTGCTACTGTAGGCGATGAGGAAGGCGTTGTCCCTATTCTCTATTGCCTGCCCGTCGCCGGCGCCCTGTGTCGCAGTGCGACCCAAGTGGAACGCAAACGACTGCGGGATCTGGATAAGCTGTAGCATGCCGGTGCGGAGGGGCTCTGTAAAGTTGGCCACGACGGCCCGCACCGCTTGCCGGGAACCCTGGTCCAAATCACGGGCGAAGACAACGATAGTCAGCCATGCCCTTTCGGCGACCGTAGTGCTCTTTATAAGAGATTCCAAGGTCAGTCGAAGGTTACTTTCACCGCTTGCACGAGAAACAGGGATCCCAATTGTTAGAAAGCCTGTGGAAAATAAGCAAAATGACCCAAACTTAAGCTTGTTAGATTTCTGGGTAATTAATAACGCATGAAACGTCATTAACATTAGAAAAAAGTGTCTTGTCACCACTTAGTGGGAAATTGGAATGCAGTTGAATTTTCTCTCGAAGGTAGGTACGTTCTTTTTGTTCACATTGTATAAAAATGTTAAAAAATCTTTTCTCTCACCACAGTCATACATAGACCAATTCCACTTTTGTGTTCTTTCAATAATTGGTCTGTTACAAAGATTCATCCCATTATTGCCAGTTAGTCATTTCGTTGCTGTGTGTTTCAAAAATCTTTTCCTTGTCAGCGTCTTTATGTGTTTCACTGGCACTTCGTAGTGTCTAAGTTGACGTCGTTGTCGGTGGGGGGGGTAGACTATTGGAGATACCTTTGTTCTTTCGACTGTGCCCCAGCACGAGAGCTCCTTCACGATCAATGTGCTTGACATCGCTACGTCTCACCTTGGAAGGTGCGGTAGTCGTCACTAATCTCTGCATTTCCGAAAAATGAAGGAGAAAATAGTGATTTAGGGCATGAAACCGAAGAACACCACAGTATGACCATGCCCACGGGCAAGCATGGTCAATGTGGTGCATGAAGGAACGGATGGTGGTGGCAACATCATGCTGTAGGGGTCTTATGCACTAGTGGTTGGGAGCATGTGAGAAAGATGGCACCAAGAAGGCAGACTACTCCGAAATTCTACAAGGGAACCTAAAGCAGTCCGTTCGAAGGCTGAACCTGGGACGTCACTACACCCTCCAACGTGACAACGACCGGAAGCCTACTTTCTTGTTGGTTGCTGGGTGGCTTCAGCAGAACAAAGCTGGTGTTTTTGGGTGGGCAGCTTAAAGCTCAGACTTAAATCCCAAGGAGGATTTGTGGACGAAATTGAAAAAGCAAGTGCTTAAGAGGAAACCCACCACTGGACTGAACTCCACCAATAATATTAGGAAAATGGGTTAGAATCCCTTCTGAGTGTTGAAAGAAGCTGATGGTCATCCGGCTAGAATGACTGCAGCTACAAAGATTAAAGGCAATGCAACAAAGTATTAGCCAACACAAGGGTGTAGTTTGTAAACTGTTGAACAAAGCTATATGCTTATTAATTAAAAAAATATGACGCAGGGGCACAGAAAGGACGATCTAGCAAACACTGTGCATTTTACCTCTGTTTGAGTGTTGCGTGGTCTCTCCTCGGCATTTCGATTGGTCTTCGTGTTGCGTAGTCTCTGCTCAGTGTTTCGATTTGTCTCTGCACAACATGCGTGATGCGTCGCCAAGTTGTTTAGCAGAAAATGGGTGAAAGAATCGCAGTAAAAGCAAATATATGGCAAATCTGTCGGCTACGTTTATTTTAGCTTATGAGAAGACATTACATGTTATTTGCAGTAAAAAGTTACTAGTGACCTTTCCTGTAGGTACATAATGCATGTATACGACACAGCTACATAGAGTATTGTGCCCCATCTCTTTAGTCGTGTAGCATTAACATTCAAGAAAAAAAATTGGGATGTTTACTGTACGTTACTGCATCGGTTTAAATTTTTATCATGTAAAAGTATATATTTGCCCCTTTTTTTCCATCGGTATTCATTTTGTTCATCCACTGGCTCAGGGTGGTCCTTGGCTGATAAAATGTAGAGTAAGCTAATTGGGAGATAGAATTGGATTTGGTTTACTTCAGCGTTGTTTTTTTTATTGTGTTCTTCTTTTTTTAGTCCATTCTTTTGGAATTAACTGTAACACTGTTGAATCAGAGTACATGTACTTACAAAGTTCATATCCTTTATTTACAAATAAAACTATAATCATTTCAAAATACAACCTCTGGAAGGACAAGCAGCTCAAAGAAAAAAACTGACCTTTGCCATTATTTAATTTATAAATTGATTTCATGAATAACTTCGGGCGAAACCTCTTCTGTTATGCCCAGACTACATGTAATCATATATTACACCTTAAGAAATGATTGTGCTCGCCTAGCATGATTGATTTGCCGAATCCTCCGTGGACTGTTAAAAATTATAGTACCTTTGTGCAACGATGCATGGAAGTTTTGCTCGAGCAGGTGGTTTTTTAGTTGCTCTATTTTTTCTGAATTATTATAATTATATGCTAATTTTTCTCCTAAAGATCCATCAATTTATTATTATCTCAACAACGCATGGAATGATGTTCGTTGCAGGACAGGTCTTCTTTTCATTTTTTTTTTCTGAATTAATGTGTAATTATGCTAGTCTCTTGCGTGGAGGTCCCTTGACACAATTTATTACTATTACTCATGTATAATGGCTTCTGTTTAAACTCTCAGTTCTTTTATGTAGTGTCAAATCTGGTCGGGATCTACTTTGTCAACTGCAATTCGACTTACCGGTATAGGTTTCATCTAGGATGTAGGCGATTGTGGTGAAGACTCCCATGATGCTTAGCGCTGCTGCCAAGAGGAGCAACATAAAACAGCTTTGCGACCGCAGGCGCATTTTGATCGATTCCCGGCTTCAACTGTGAGTGCCGAGTAATTGGAGAAAAAGCATGCTTCAACAGGCCATTTGGGAGTTAAATTTGAATAAAATCTGGTACACCGAGTTCTTTAAATTCACGTGAACATAACTCGAATTCTCCATACTAAAACCACTGTTGCTGTACCTCGTGAATTGGGGTAAGCTTTTGCTTAGTTACAAAAGAGACGCCTTGCAACAAGACACTGTTCTCAATGGATAAGAACACCACAGAGGAACCAGTCCATTCCAGAGATGGTGGTCGCTATGCAAAAGCTTGCCCCGAATCACGAGGTATAGCAACAGTGTCGTTAGTCTGGGGAATTCAAATTGTTACGTTTATGTGCAATCAGTGTACCAGATTTTATTCACATTTAACTTCAAGTGGTTTATTAGCAGGGATTCAGAATATTCGGAATTTCGTTTCACTTTTGGTAATCTAAGCAACATACTACCATCCATTTCCCCAATGCAAGAGGACTTTTTGAATGAATATTAAGATTGTTGTTGTGGCTGGCAGCATACCAACTTAAAACAAACACTAATGGTAAATCGGGGGTCAACATTTTTATGCGGGGGGTGTTATTTGAAGAACTTTACAGATAAAAAATTTTTACTATGATGAGTAATCCTATGCCCCAAAGTGTTAGGGCTTACCTTTATTTGGGGCGCAGTGTGGTCCCGACCAAAAATATCGAATATTTTTAGGAATCATGAGGTGGCAGTATCCGCCAAGATCGCGTAATTAAACTGGGAGGAATTTCTCCTGTCATCTCAAAACATTTCCGGAACTAGCCGAACATTCCCGGACCCACTTTCAGTTTAGGATATATATTGGCGAATGTGGTGCATGTATAAACTTTCCATGGCTTGCATTACAATTGAATACCTTCCAAGTTTTGCTGGTATTGTCTGCACACACTGAATCCCACTTCTAAAAATAGCAGGGCCCTGACACGTGGCATTTGTATTTATTCATAGGACAATGGCCACTTGTTAGTACAGCAGGCAACCAGCCAGAGAGCCATCTTTCATCATCATGGTAGTATAATCGAGTCGTGCACAGAGTTGACCTATCCTTTTAATTTTGATCATTATATTACTTGTAGGGGTTGAGATCATGTCCATCTTTCACTGAAATTCCAACTCCCTGTGACGAAAGCTTTTCAGACTGCCTTTCTCGTCTTCAGAACAGATACAAAATACACTTGATCCAGAACACATTACCTCAAACTTAAACCGATACGAAACAATCACTTCTTTCGGTGTGTTTTTGTATGCTCTGAAGCAATCATTGATTTTTTTATCAAGCAAATCTTATGGTAGTCAGATTTTAAAAACTTAACATTAGCCAGAAAAAGAACCTTTCAGCATGAACATGTATTCATCAAAAGATTACATTGATGGTATTTATTTCTTTCCTTGAATTACAGATGTTTTTAATTCCAAAAGAGAAGTTGGCATGGGGGGGGGCTTTGGAACAAAATACACCTGTACGGTTCCCATTACTAGGTATTTGGAGACGCTCTAACATTTTGCATCGCTATAGGCACAGAATCTTACCTTAAACGCGCTACCGAAGTACTTCGACGTGGACTCCCTTTTGTGTGCAAGTATTACTATATTTCTATACTGAACTGATTCAATTACGTGCAGGCACACCAACAGTCGAATTGTAGTGCCTTGCTCAACACTGATCAGTGGCACTGCGTATAAAAACGCGTAGAGTGGAAGCCATTACCGATTCGGGTCAGTGAGTTACATTCAGAAGCGATGCCCTCCCCTCTGCTAAACACAAATCATATTTCATAACAAACAGGTTGCTGTTGATCACACAGGAAGGATTCTAGTCCGGCAATTTCTTCACATTTTCTCAATTTAATAATGCATTAATTATAAGATGCAGTTAATCGGAAAATAAATTATCTTTTGGGGAGTTTTGGCGCACCCTTAATTCCTTTTAACAGAAGTTGCACTCCCAGTAGAGTGTACGTAACAACTTGTGACACTTTCCATTAAAGGTAAGATCTTTAATCTTTAATTGCGTTGGCAGTCATGGTGATGGAGTTCTGAATTTGAGAACGAAGGTTTAAACAAAGGTTTGTTGTGAACAGACTTGGTGTTCTGGTATGAGCAATAGGCCGAATAAAAAGAAAGTTTTCCAAACTGAAATGCATTCTTTAAATAAGTTATTCCAAAATGATGCCTGCTGTATACTTGAAAATAGTATTTTTATTTATACAGTGTGGTTCCTAGACTACTTTGGTTCCTTATTTGGAGACGAAAATTAATGGCAAGACATCCAATGATGTCAGTGATAAAGCAATAAAATCTCATTCACCTATTAAAGAGGGACTCAGGACTCAACACAGAAAACTATTGTATATAGTCAGTCTCTAACAGTGCTCAGTATTGTACCACGCAAAGCACATTACTATAATATTCGCATTTTGGAGCATTAAACGCCTCCCCTCTCAAAAACATAGGTTTCTTCATTGAATTCTAAATGTTTTCATCTATAGAAGGCCAGATCTGCGGTCGTCGCAACTGTATAAACAAACTTAACGCGTCCCCGTGATGATTAAATCTTAGATACGCCTTTGCATCTTTATGTCACGTGTTCAGTGTTTAATGGATGTATTAACACCAGGATCCTGGAACTCTTGAATTTAAACTTGAATAATCTTTCCTTGGCTTTTCAACTTTGTCCGAAGAAATCAACAACGTCCGCATCTGAAACTGTTTCGTTTAGGGGCTGGCTCATAAGTTATTTTGGGGATGTACAACAAAAAATATGACCAAGAAAAAAATGGAAACATTTGTCTGCACTTGACTTATTTTCTGGAGTGGTATATCAAACACAAGAATATTAAAGAATGATGGCATCGTCTTGTAAAAAATGGAAAGAAAACTTAGAATAACATTAGGCCTATATATTTACAATAATATTTCTTGTACAACTTACAAGAACAAGTTACTTTCTTAAGTTTCAAGGGTATGGTCATCAAGGCAGAAGTGAATGTAGGAGGAATTTTGATATGATCCATTTTCCAATATTTTCGCCGCACATATGAGAAACAGCGGCTGCATCTATAGATTTCCTAAAGACAGACATAGAATATCCATCTTTTATCACATGATTAAACGTTTAGTTGCAATCAACTCTCTAAATGCAAAAGAATAAACAATCACTCTTAAAAGAGTGAGTCCCTCATAATCCACCTCAAAGAGTAAAAAAAACACGCTAAAAGAGTAAAAAAACCTCTCTAAAAGAGTAAAAAAAACAACCACAAACCGAGTTTTTACTCTTTTAGAATTGTTTTCACTCGTTGAGAATGGTTTTCACTCTTTGAGAGTAGGTTTCAATCTTATAGTGTGATTTCCACTTTTTTAGAGTGGTTTTTACTCTTTTAGAATGGCTTTCACTCTTAGAGAATAGCTTTCACTCTTTGAGAGTGGCTTTCACTCTTATAGAATGGTTGTCAATCTTTAATTTGGAGTGATTTTAAATTATTTGGTTTTCACTCTTTGAGAGTGGCTTTCACTCTTTGAGAGTGATTTTCACTCTTATAGTGTGATTTTCACTGTTTCAGAGTGATATTTGTTAGAATGGTTTCACTCTTTGAGACTGGTTGTCACTCTTTTGGATTGAACTTATGAGGGATTCACTTTTTTTAGAGTGATTTTTCACTCTTTTTGCCTTTAGAAGGAATAAAAAAACCCATCCCAGTCGCACTGCGCTTTAAAAAAAATGGCGTCTGCATCGTGCAGAAATTGAATTCAGAAACACACATTCACACCAATAATTTCTTCATTGCGCAGATACAAATATTACAAGGCCACTTGTCGTAGCGTCATACATTTCCATGTGTCTTTCACATGTAACGCTTAGCCTGCAAAGACGAACAACGATGTTTACCCGTGCAAAATGAAACGTACCCGGTTTTGAATCAGTTGTTTCATTGTCAGTGCGTCCTTGACCGCAGACAGGTACCTTTTCGGTGAGTGGAAAAGGGGCCATTACATGCTCACGAGGAGGAAATAAAGCACAAACTATGTCTGAACCACTGTAGACTGTATTCATGTGTCAGCCATCTTTAATAAATTGAAAATGAGATTTTTTTAAAAACTGATTCCATGTACCTGACAGTAGCGGCAAAATACAAATACAAATTTAGGTTACATTTTGTTTAGAATAATTCCAAATTTGTGATAAGTGACGTTTGCAAACGCAGGGAGTGAGGTTTGGAACCCAAAATAGTTTCGTACCATCCCATTTAACAGATTTCATTGAATATGAAATATTCCGAGGCAAAATAACATATGGCTTCCCCATTTATACTGGGTATTTGAGGCAAATTGAATTTTTCAGCCATGATATGTAATTAATGATACTACAAAGGCAGACAAATTCAACCGTCTCGAATTATGTCGAAAAACACAGAGTCCTGTTCCTTCAAAACTGGATGACTTTACTGCGATCAGTTCAATATTTTTAATATTTTAAATGCACGGATGCTTCGTAATGTCGAGTACTTCATTTTACGGACTCAGTGATCGTTGTCACAGTCTACATGAATCAACATCCTAAATGAATTCATTAACTCAGAAATCTTGTTCAACTGTAACAAATGCACTACCCGAAGTACGCAAGCCAGGCCGACTTCGAATCTCTGATATGCATATTAGACATTATTTGATCACGAAATGGGATTCATTGTCATGTAGTATTTTAGTAGAGCTACTTAATTTGAGCAAGGGCGGACCTAAAGCCAAATTTTCAGGGGCCAAACTTGTTTTTGGGGGGGACGAAACATTCAGGAATATTTTCATTGAATTTTTTATATCCTTTCGGGGAGCTGAGGCAACATTTGGTGGCTTTTTATTCACTTTGCTGAATAAAAGGAGAAGGAGAAACCCCTAATCTCCGCTCTCCCATTTATAAAAAAACCTTTGGCTCCTTTATTTCGGGGCATAACACCCGTTCCCAACACCAACCCCCACCCCCGCCCGCTATGCCCATGATACACCGGTTTTAATATTTATACCGCGGTTCTGGTAAAACCATGTTGATTCATTTGTTGATTTGGAGCTCACGGCTAGCCATAAATTTACTTACCACCGTGTTCGCAAAATTTGTGCTTGTGACGTGCAAAAGAAAGGGGTGTGCTGGCGGGGGTGTACCGTCCGTTCGTTTTGTCATACACTTTAATTGAATAACTACTGCAGTCATTTTTCGTATTTATTTTAAATTCTAGGTTTTCTCCAGGCACACAGGTATCCACATTAACGATGTTTCGACGACGCCACTGGAAGCGAATGCTAGCTTACTTGACGGCAACGACATTTCTGTTGACGTTCATAGGCCTGCTTGTACAGCATGTTCGATATACGACCAGACAGAAAAGTGAGTTAACCGTATCCTTATTTCCTGTGGACAACAGTCACGCGTCATAGTTTTAAAGGGCCCCTGTAGTGCAATATTTGATGTGGTTCTGACGACTTTTCCGTTGTGTCCCATTTAACCCAACTTTTAATTTTATTGTCTCACTTCAAAGGCACCTGGGACCCTTTGGTAGTCATGCTGGTAAATGCCATTCTAAAATTAAAAAGCACTTATTTTGACCTCGTCGGCCAAGTGTAAATTCCATGGTGAATATTTCTCTATACCTGTGGTTGTTTTGAATTATCTGTGTTTTAGTATAGTAAAGTACATCACACGAAACAGCTGTAAAGGATGTTCATGTTGCGCCTTCCACTCAGAGTACAGCTGTAATGATCGTTTGGGAGTGTACAGCCAGTCGAATTTGGGGTCAAGAAATTTCAAGTGTCTGTACGGAGCGCTTCGAGGGTGGCTCATTTTCTTCTCACGTGATTGTGGACCCATTCCCGCGCGCGATTTTTTTCCTTACCACATATTCGCTATGGTCCCTTACAGTTAAGTTGTGCGCAAAATGGTCATACATGATGCATGAGGTTCAAATGTCAAAAGATACAAAATCGGCATCTCAATTTCGCGCATTGTGTACGTGCATGGTTTGAGTAGGCTACATGTATTCTGTACATGTACACATGCTCTTTACCAGGCAAGATATGGGACGGAGGGGTCCCCCCTTACCTGTCCAATCCCTATACACAATCTAGACTATTGTTACCTAACACATCCCCCCTAGAAGTCTGTAAAGAATTGCTGAGATTCCGATCAAATAATGACCAACACAAAGGCGGGGAGGTCTCTCCGTCTCATATCTTGCTTCAAATGACATGCTCGCGCATTGCGTGGGTTTACATCAGCGAATATCGTGCATCATAGTGATGAAGTCCTCGGTGCCCACACTGGCATTTAGACCCATTGTCAGGGGCGGGTCCAGGGCGCTTGGGGCGCATGCCCACTTTTCCACCCAAAAAATGAATAAAAATAAATTGATTGATTTAAAACAGAAGAAGAATAGAGATGGATCCCATGCTTTACGGGCTTCACGCTCACGGGCATTTTACCGTTGCTGCTTGCGTTCACACCCACCCCCTTGGAAAATCCGGGGTCACGCCCCCCCTGGGAAAAATCCTGGATCCGCCCCTGATTGTCGTCGTAGTTGTGGAATTTAATCTGTATTTTGAATAATGTCTTCAAGTTCCTCCGCGTGCTTGAATGATCACTCTCAAATACCCCCTCGTATTACATCCCGGTCATTAAATGAGATTCCTACGAAAAACATAACTGCTAAATTTAATTTTCAGATTTTTAACACACACGTAGCCCACTTGAACATGAAATAAAGAATTTTGTGGAAAGAGAACTGAGCCCTGCTGTAGTCCTTGTTATTTGGTGCATTTCTTTTGGCCCTGTACAGGCACGTGTACATGACTGTAGGCTTAGGGCTGCTGTTGACGACATCGATGCGCGCTTCAGTTTGTACTTCTTCCTATGATTCATCACACAAGTGTTATTATATTCCTCACAGAGCTAGGTTTTCGAGTCGACTTTCATGTACACGTACAGTAATCACATAGAACGTACAGTAATCACACAGAGAGAAATTAACATACTTCAGAGTTCGAGCATAAACTTAATTGCGACTAGCTCTCTTCGATAAAATTCCATATCAAAATCCTTTTGAGACTAAAAACTAGTACATTGACGTCTGGAACATGTAGATTTTCGTTGGCAATGCTTTGAGTCTGCACCTTTTGACGCATTGCATTAACCAGACGTGTCAAACACGTCCTTGAGCCTGGTGTCGTTCATTATTTTTGTAGATGAGTTACCTTCGTTATCGGGGATGGATGAAATTATGGCTGGACGGTCAAGAAAAGAGATGCGTAACAGCACGAGGAAGAAGGGGATAGTTACAATAGACAAGAAGGTATCGTAATATGTCAAATATAGGGCCTACATTGGCGTGCACTTGCAGTCTCCTCTCTCTGTAGGTACATTCTGTTTCATGAAATCTTTGGCCATGAAGATGTTTCCTTATCGAATTAGAACTCAAGGTTACACACTGTATCACTGGACAAGCCTTTGACAACGTTATTTTGATGGGTTTGGGCCATCAGAGCAGATAGTCACTTATAGACTACAATGAAAGGAAGGCTCGATCTGCTTTATTGGTCTGCAGAAAAGCAAGAAAGTGAACTTGATGTCCAGAACGGTTAATTGGCTTCTCTGATCTCAGAAAAGCAAATGTGTACTTTTACACCACTGTGACAGTAGACTATTCCAACTAATCTCTCGGAGAGCCGAAAAGTAGAAAAATAACTCTGGTCAATATTCTTGGTCAAATTTTCCAGAAGAAGCGAAGTGGGAAAGTAGATGTCCGTTTCTGGACCGTTAGTGATGACTAAAAAGAAAGTTCGCATTTCTTGAAGCAATAGAGTAGAAAAGTCGAAAAATGCTTTCTGGTAAAACGTTCAATTTGTAAAGTGGAGGACTAAAACATGCACTCTATAATAATGCAGAATCTACTTTTTTGTATTTTGGCGGAAGAGAAGCAGATGTCCACTTTTGAACCTCCACGAAGGACAAAGCCTTGCCGACATATTAGTAGATTGCTTGACTAATTGGCTGACTGGTTGACTAACTGCCTACCGGCCGTTCGATCAGTCTGTATGACTGTCATATTGGTCGAGAAATTTCTTCGTGTTTCTTGAGGAATGTCTGTCGAGATTCGGTGATTGACTTGTTGATTTCCTGTCTGTAACCTCTCCCTTCCCGAGTCAAAAATAACTCAGCAAGAGCTCATTTTAAATTCCCTGATTTCAAAAAGTACTATTTTATGTCAGGTTACGATACAAAAACTTCAATAAATCTCTCCCTGAAATTGATGCCCTAGACTGCGTAATTCCCCTTAATCCATTTTCCACAGGAAGAGAATAAGACAGTGTTGACACATCCAGAGCCCACCGAGGCGGGCTGTATGGACCTAGATCACTTGGACAGAGACAAGGCACTAATCCTCGGTCATCGCAGAAAAGACAAAGGTAAAACCTTTCAATGGTCTTTAATTAAGTCTTTGCGCGGAAAACTTCAACATGTCTTGGGAACAAGAGGGCATATAGTATCCAGCGAACACCTCTAAGAATCCTCAGCATCACACCTCAGTGACCAGCCTTCAACATCGATGCCTCAGCGCCCCAGCGACTAGAATCTGGCATCCTGGTCTTCGTGCCCATCACCACTAGCATCGCACACGTCAACTAATTCCCCAAACCCCTTGAATGACAGCTTCATCTACTAGTCCGACAGTGCCGAGCGCACTGATCGAGAAACCGGTTTCAACTTACCGGTTCTTTTCAGAACCACCCATCTTCCTATGGTCCACTACAGATCTGTTCATAGAAAGAAAGGGGTTTCGAAAATTTTCTTTTTCGCAAATTTTATTTGAGTGAAATAATACTTTTCAGTGTAACGTGAAAATACGATGACTTAATTTTGAGTAGGCCTATTTAGAAGGGTGCAAACCGATTTAATGTTTTCTCGTACACCTCTTCGATTTTTTTTTGGTCATCCTATCTCTTTACGTACTGCAAATGCCAAAAAGGTTTTAAAGTAAATATTGCATAATAATTAACAAGTAGTATAAGAAATCGAGTGTATCTTTTTGAACAAATTTGAGTGGTTCTCTGTGTTGTTCAGAGGTCTGCTGCCTGAAAAGTCACCCCGGAAAAGTAAATTTTTTTGTTCCTTCCTTTTAACACCCAGGCTTTCTGACGATTGGCGTGACTACAGCCGAAAGAAAGAATGCCAGCTACTTGGACCAGACGTTGAGAGCCTTCATAAAAAACGCCAACGACACCGAAAGGTCGCAGATGCGGATCGTCGTGTTTGCGTGCGACTACCACGAACGAGGTCGGAAAGAGGCTTTGAAAGTGGTAGCCAAGTACTCCGAGCACATTCAGAGCGGCCTCTTGCAACTCATCATAGCACCGAGGTCTTTCTACCCCTCCTTCTCGAACCTGAAGCATACCTATGACGATTCAGAGGAGCGAGTGCAGTGGCGCTCCAAGGAAAATATCGACAGCGTCTTCTTATTCGCCTACTGTGCCGGTATGTCCGACTACTTCCTGCAAATGGACGACGATCTGGAAGTATCCAACCCGGGATACTTCCAAATAATCCGGAGTTTTATCAATGATCGCTCCGGGGACAACTGGGTGTTGCTGGACATCGGTTCCACTGGCTCCGGCAAGCTGTTCCGTGACGAAGACGTCCTTCCCATGGCTCGTCTCTTGGTTCAATTCTACCAGGAAGATCCCGTAGATTACCTCTTCGCGTACTTCGGTGCCCTTCGCATTCAGAAGGAACGCTTCGTGGTCCAACCTCCCCTGTTCAAACACTTGGGAGTGGTATCTACGTTGGGTTTAAAAAATAGAATGAGGCAGAAAAAACCCGCCAATGTCGCTGCCATAAAGGCCAATGTTGCTGCCATGAAGGCCAATGCAGCTGCCGCAAAGAGCAAAGCTGAAGCGGCCCAGAGAGCCAAATGACTCAAGAAAGCTAATTAATTTTAGAAACTTTAAGCAGATTTTGTCAGGTGCAACTTGACATTTCTAATCGAGACAAGCCCAGAGATACGTTTAAAATAGAGATGTTGAGGTTGTTATCATGTTGAAGTATCAATTCTAGCGAAAGCGAATGGCTGTAATTGGTAGCGATGTCTCCATAAACGATCAATTAGCAATGGCTATGGGACTATAACTTTTTAAAGCAGGAAGTATAGTGCAGTGCCTGTATTTCATAAACCAGCGAAGTGCAGTTTCCACCACAGGAGGCTCTGTTGCTAGGAACATCAGTGCCTTCTCTTGGTCCCGCTTGAGGCGGATAGACCCCTCAGGTATATGTATATTGCCCAGTATGCGCATGGGTGGCTAACATTTGCAAAAATATTACCCTATAATTGGTGTTGTATTGTACCTAAAAATGTATACTATACGGCTCATTAAAGCTGTATTATTCTTGCTTTTCTCTTCCGAGCGAGTTTTGAAGGAATGTGATGTCATGCAAGGAATAAAGTTGCTTGTTCGTATGGAGGCCTCTTTGCAGTTTAAAAATTGTTCTTTAGTATTGCACTAAAGTGCACATGCAACAGCTTAAAAAGTGAACAAAATCTGAATAAATATTTGGTGACGTGGTCTCACGCATCGCACGTTTTTCGACTCTGTCCAATCCTATCCGGTCCGTAAGTGACTTTGTCATACACGCGGACGTACCAGGGGCGTAGCCACGGAGGAGGGGGGCTGGGGCACGTCCCCACCTCCCACAAATTCCCCGTGCCCCCCCCCCCATGTGCCCCCCATAGTAAAATCCTAGCTTCGCCACTGCAGGGGCATTGAATTAACACTGAAGTCGCACGTTAATTTCTGGTTCCATGGTTCCGTGCAGCACTAATGTGCAGTGGGCGTGGTTTAAACTGAAGTGACGTCGCACTTGCTACCTGGATAGGTACGCGATGCGCGCGCGCGAGCGGTTGCATTATGATTCGTTGTGTTGAGATTTCTCATACACCACATTCGCACAAAATGGGTGCGTCCTCCAATGGCCTGGTCCAAGGGCAGCTTTTGGAAATTATATTCAGTCTGTTGGGAAGCTCTTGTGCAACGATAACTACCACCCGCTTTCTAATTTGAATGAGGAGCGGGACACTCTTAATTCAAAAACAGAACCGATTATTTGATTACTATTCGTGGACTCATTTTTTCATGTGATTCTCATTAGAAAGCTCATAACCAACGATGTCCTTGAAACTTATCAGCTCAACTTTAAAATGTATTTTTCGAGGTGTCGCACACAAAAGCACAGAAATTACATTTTTGTTCGGACCATCTCAAGCCAAGACTCGACTGTCAAACATTTGACCGTTTTGAAACGTGGTACGCATATGCATGTAAAGATATATGCTTCACTCGAAAAGATTTCCAGCACAAAGAGCTTCGGTAGACTATGCAATTCGTGGTGACTTATTTTAAATTGAGGCCTGGACGAAATCGAGCCATTCGGCGAGCTCAGACAATCACGGCCATTGAAGGACTTTGAATCACACAACTGCATCGGGGATTGAGCCTTTGCCTACGACATCATCATGTCTGGAACTATTTCACAATACCACGATTTTTTAACCGGGTCATGATCTAACCCTAAAAGAGACGAAGGCACGATTTTTTACACACAGCGCCTTCTCGAATTTTTTTCCATTAACTTCTTGTGGTAATTTTGACACTAGTTTGGGAAAATCAGGTATACCGTTCCACACGGCTGCGACTGTGTTTCCGAGATCAGCCAAAAAAAATAGGCCTACTAGGCTACTGATGTGCTCAATGCAAACGGGCTGCCGGGCACGCGTGTAGCCCGTGGACTTCAAATGACCTTAACCACAAAACCATTATGTTAGACTGAAACCTCTGCATTTTACTGATGAGTTTTAAAAAGCCGGTAAAATGAAAGAATTAGACTTGCTATAAGGCGTGCAAGGGTCCATTAGCCTTCTTGAAGCATGGAGGGCGCTATTTGGAAAGGGAAGAATACATTTTGATGTATCCGTAATTTTCGGAATACAAGCCGCGCGGTATATAAGCCATAATAAGCCGCACACTCAAAAAATCGGCAAATTAAATTCCACATATAAGTTGCACACGAAAGATTTGACGAAAAGACGAAAGATTTGCCTCACGAAGCGGTTGATTTTTATTTAACGGTAGAAAGAAACTTTTAGGTAACAACAATAAAAAAATTAAATCTCACTAAAACAATTATTTATGTGCAAAAAATGCACCATGAGAATGAAAAAGCGGGAAAATAATCTCGAATAAAATGTTGCCACAGCAGAGAAAGTAAAGTTTAAGATTACGTACACATTTCATGTATGTGTATTGTAATATAACTCCGTTACCCGGGGACTTCCGGTAACTCGAAATCTGGACAACTCAAATCTTTATTTGTTCTCCAAGGTTTGAGTCATCAGACGTAAACGGCAACCAACGAAAACGAAAAAACATGGCTGCGCTATTTGCATCTGGTATGCGTGGCCCGGGCCCCACTTTTGTGACTATATCCTTCAACGTTTGCGTATAAGCCGCACAGACACTTTTCAGCATGAGAATCAACGTATATAAGCCTCGGCTTATTCTGAAAATTACGATATATACAAAATATTTTATCCGCACCAAACGTAGCGTTTTCCTTGTCACCACCATAACTCAAATAGGCTAATTCAAATGTCGCAGTTTAATACTTTTGTTGGTGAACACCTATCCCAAAGTGTAGACTTCTGCAGTAAAAGTAGGATGTATCAAAAAAAATCTTGATAAGACAAAAAAAATCCTGAGCTGCAATTTTAGACTTTATTCAAGCTGTCTGCTTACCCAGGGTATGCGAAAATTTTCGCCAACTGAAATGATTTTGTCTATCACACTTGCCGCACGAGGTCGCTGTTCACCTTCATTGGTTCGGTCATCCCACTATAGTACAAGTACTAGCACTTGGGTATTGTACTCATTCTCCAGGGGAGGCACTCCGTAAATGCTGTCACAGTTAGAATAATAAGGACTACTATCGTTTTCTTCTCTAACTTCTGACCGGGGGGTGCACACGGGGAGAGGCCTCGAGTGGGACATGCCCCATGTCCTTTTAGGGATCCACCATGACTTAACTGCAGTGGGGTAGGCTAGTGTATGATGTAATTTTTCAAAAATTTCTTACATTCAGCGGTGATTCGTGTCCACCTTCACATGACCGCCGTAAAGAAGCGTCGTTGGCTATTACATGTTCCAGCACAGCCACGGACTGGCTTTACATGGTACTGGTACATGGGTATTTGTTTAATTAAAACGTACGCCGTTGCGCTAGCGATCTAAATTGTGCGACAATTAGCGACTGGAAATAAGACTAGGTAGTGTAAGCGCTCCGCTGTCTTGTTAGTCTTGGCCCAAGGCGTCAGTGATCGATAGTTGATTTATTTTTGTTGAAGAGCGCCCTCGCCATAGAGTGCCCTCGCGCAACTAGTGCGATCTGGCGCACAGTCTAATTATGTGTCGTTAGGGGGCGCACAATGCACTGTGTCCGCTATCAAGCACTAACGTCTTGAAACCAAGACTACTGTCTCATGCCATAATATTATGTGTGGGGCATCAAAACATCACCCAGCTGTCCTTGTTGGCGCCGCGCCGGCAAAACCGTCAAATGTCAGGTCCATCGCAGTCCAAGCAGCTTTTATTGCGATGCTCGTGCCCTGGAGCAGCACCGGTCGATGATTCTGAAATGAGAAACCTCATCTTCACCACTAGCCGGGACAAAAACGGTAAATAAAGTGCCATTGTGGCCGGGCAATTGCCTTTTTTGTTTTCCACAGCTAAGATAAGAACAATTGACAGCCCAGGCAGCATGCCTGACATGAGCAAGGGCGCGATCGGTTGATACTGCACGATCGCCCGGTCCTCGCGCAATCGGTCAATGGTCGATCTTATATTACTGCACCATTTGTCGATAATTCCACCATCAGCCAATCGCATCACGGTTGTGAAAAAATGTAAAAAGGGGAGTAAAGTTAAATTGTAGATTTGACATGGAATTGAACAGAGCACACGATCAGGCGATCCGCAATCGTGCAGATATGGCAGACCACAATGGACATGATTGATCAACCGACGCTGACTTGGATCAGGATCTGCATGCTTAGACCAAACTAGACTTTGTGTGATCTGTCGACCTCACTGCACAGATTGCTGGTCAGCCGCCTTTTCTTTCCAAGTCACGCTTGTGGCAGGTTGCTTCACTAAGGGAAGAAGCCTACAGGAGGAGGTTTCATTCAGGATCGACTGAGAACAAAATAGAATCGCATGATCTTGCTGGTAGACTGATTATGCCAAACAGTCGGTGACAGTTCTCCAAAACCATTTTGTTAGTAGTGACGTGACAGTAACGTGTATTAACGTTAAGTGCAGGTCCCACCGAATTAGCCTGCATTGCTAGGAAAATTGCGCCTTCTCCTGATCCTCCTCGGGCCCGGTGGATAGGGATGATTCCAGATTTGTGATAGCACCTCGGGGCCCATCGAAGGCAGTCAGTAAAAAAGGATGTCAGCTTACACAATTTGCAGTACCAGCAGGGACGGGGGAAGGGGCCTACATGTACATGTACATGTAGTTTTTCAGTGTGTCATCTGTTACGCATGTACATTTACTGTATACTGTATTGACATATGTACTCTATATAGCACTGTATGGATCGGTAGTCAGTGAAGTTTTCCTATGGTACATGTACCTCCATGGTTCTCCCAAGCTGGCCTCAACATTAACAGTTGTGTGATTGCCAATGACAAGTAAATTCTTTTTTTGTTGCATACATGTATCTACATGTACTAACTCGCATGCATTAATTCAGCACACTGTACATTCAACATTGCTCCCCAGTTCATGTTATTCAATTTTTTTTTGTCTGAAAAGTGAGAACGTGATTTGTGTCTTGAGAGTTGGCTGGTGTTTTGTGGAATGTCCAGCCCAAATGTTTGCCTCACGGGAAATTGGACGAATTTTGTTCCCAATCGGCTTCACTTTGTTATGCAAATTTACATGTACCAATAGAGTGTACCATTCTCCTTTACCCTAGGTCTCTGGAAAGTACCTTATATGTTCATGTGCATGTGCAGTGTTTGTTGTTCAAGATGGCATTGATCAAAAAGGCTTAGCACTGAGTCTGATTTGAACGATACATTTACACGTATTGTTGACAAAATCTTGTTTTCTGACCTCAGGCCTCGGCAGGTTTGTTGGACTGTCGGTTTCCTCAAACAATTTCCTGGCAGTCCCTGGACCGTGAGGTACATGTACATGTGATGAGAACGGGAAGCTTTTAACCAGTGAAGGCTGGTTTACATGTTCTTTAGATGAGTGTCATGCAAATATGACATCACAAAATGTTTGCAGCAAAATTCACTTTCAAGGTTTGAAATGTGTTCATTCCTGCGAATTGGCTGTGCGAATACTTGATCCAATACCATGAAATCACTAATTCGTGTTTGCTTTCAGCTAAAGTATGAACCAACCTGAATGAAGGCCATCAACCCGAGAAATGAATGGTACCTTAATTTGAAGGAAAAAACCCTGGGACTAACACAGTTTGAACTGTCCTAATGCAAGTGTCTACCAGTACAGTTTTCCCTGTTTTAAACTCATGTACCTGCATCATATTATGTATAAGAGTACTATTTTCATAATCATCCTTAAATTTATACAAACCAGTAACTACCACACAAACTACATGTATCTGCTTAAAATTCTTCCTCCATTTTGAATTCAGGGTTGGTTGGTTGGTTGAATGTACTCTATTGATCCCTACTTTGTTAGGAAATTTATTCAATCTGGGAACCTTTTGTGCCATTAATGTTGTTTACGTCATACTGGTATCTGGTTTCAACGTTAGCAATGTATTGTGCTTTGTTCAGTGAGTGGAATATCCACATACCGGGGGTTTGTTTTCCCGACCAAGCGTTACCAGAAACATTCTTCCTGTTACCTTTACAAGGTCGTTTTCTCTGGTTGGGCATTTTAGCGACTTCAGTAAAAATGTGTGCGTGATGCCATTGTTTTGACTGAACAAGAACCGAAAGTTGGAGTTTGTTCAGTGCTGGATCATAAATGGTGGAGAATACAAAGGCAGTATTTCTTTGTCCAAAAAAGAAGTTTACGTATTGTTGCGTGGCTCTAAATTACTGTTATTCATTCATGTTGCACTTATATATATACAGTGTATATGCCTAAGAGTTTTCTTAATTACTATAGCTTCGTTGTGCATAAAACTATTGAATGCAGTTGAGCCTTATCTCACGCCTTGTCTTGCTGCATGATTGCCAGAATTGTGCATCGCATTTGACCCTTGCAGCCATATATGAATTATGCATAGCATGATTGACCTGCCCTGCATCTTGCCACTCTGTTCTTGCTCCACCCTCCTGCCACGCGGGTGGGAGACACTTCCATCATGCAGCACAGCCAGGCTGCTTGCATGTGACCTGCACCGACGTTGCATCATTTGGCATTATATATGCTGTATTTGCACACACTCTGCTTAGAGACAGTGGCAGGGTAATCCTCATTGGTTATTCCTCTAATTTGGGAGTTGCGTGTATATTCATGATATGAGAAGCCTGAATTCTCTATAAAAGGCGAGGATTTCCTCACTCTTGCCGTCTTGCTCCCTGGCCTGACCACTCGTTGTTGTCCGACACTGACCACACATTGTTGTGCAGTGGGATACATGTTATGGGCAACAGAGTGTTGTGCGGTACGAGGTACCGGTACGTGTACATGTAGGAGCCCTATGCTGGTCCGCCACACATACACGTAGCTGTGTGGCTGGCGGAGCCTTAGCAGCCCACTCACGCTACGGTCAGTCCGTCTGACGGAACTTCCACCCCGTGGTCAGTTGTTAAACTTCACAGGTGTGCCTTGCCTGGTAGTAAATAGTCCGATACTGTTAAGCCTTAGTTGCAATACTGTACGCTACCATGAATCAACAGAAGCCACCTTTGTTACTTATTCTACTGTGCATAATCAAAGGAAGAAGTTGTGAATGAACCCGAGTCTTACTGTCACCCGAAAGTCCTGCTTCCTGCCGTGATTTTAATTGTTGACCCCGGTATGTATTAATCCCAATATCGGGGGAACACAGCACTATTCCTGAATTCGTTGCTCAAGGTGCTGGTACACTTTCTTCTAGAATGTGAAAAGAGAGAGAAGAAATTGTGAGAAACTTTCTGCACATTGAGTGAAAATAGCGTTTGTTAACAATATCATCAGCTACTACATGTACATGTACATACGTTGCTTGGATGATGTAATCATTTCTGGATTCTTCATTTCTGTTGACCACCCTAAAAATGTTCCTGGTTACTGCTTTGTTTCTGATTTAGCAACAAAACATGCCCCCTGCTTGTCACACTTTGGCTGTATTTGAAACAGGGCTATGGCAACTGATAGTACATGTTGGTCAATTGTCTTTGCATCTCCACGTGTTTCCAATGGAGTTTAAGACCTACGGTAGACCTAGCTCTAGACAACAAACTTAGACACAGCCTCTGTAAGACTGCTCTGAAAAGAGAACAGTGGCTGTCCACGACAGGCATGAACCTCTCTCCAAAGATGAAACTCAGCCACTAGTACAGTACATTAATGCATTTCATGCTCGGCCTGCATAAGACCTTGATAATGCAAACTCCCATTGTTTGAAAACTCATAAAGTCGTTAGTGCATCAACTACATGTAAATTATATTAAATATTGAATAGGTCCTAACAAAGCTTGACTTTCTTCTACAAAGAATTTGTAAAGCAAATTGGGTACAGCTGCCGTACCGATACATGTAATTCATCTTTAAACAGATGCATGCAATTTGTGAAGGTCTGTTGCTCTGTTGTAATTATTTGAAAGGTCTAAACTCTGAGGGAGACTTCTTATTATTCACGGATTTGCACTGATACTGTGTCAAAACAGGGGAAGGAGGCAGTGAAAACTATAAACAGGGTTCGAGTCTCTCCCGTTTGATTTTTTATTTCTTTCTCTCCCTTTTTTTTTTTCTTTTTGCAAAACTGTGTGACTAAGTGTTAAGAAGAACTTTGCCCCTCATCAAAAAATAGAATGAAGTCAGTGATGCCAGTCACATGATGAAGACAAAAGTTTGCTAACGCAGATGGTTATACAATCTACTCACCATCACATGACTTCCCTTGAGTGCGGCCGGCTGGCTGTCAGTCTGTGGTTCAAATAGCCTCTGTGTTTACACTAACACAAAAAGATTCTTTGAAAGAGAATATTTAGAATGTTGTTTGTTTACTTGGGAATTTCGTTTGCTCTGACGAAACTTATACATTGTACCTGTAAATAGACTTCTGAATATTTGTCAACTGGAATTTGGAATATGTTACCGAGGGACTTTGCCAATGGAATAAGTTTTTTTCCAAACCCACAATTGGGCTCAAGTTTTACTCTTGAACATCTGCACAGCTGTGATCTGATTAAATACACATAGCCTTTTGCGAGTTTAAATAAAATCTGGTACACTGAGTTCTTTAAGTTCACGTGGACATGGAAATTTGAATTCTCTATACTAAAGACACTGTCGCTATATCTTGTACATGTAATTCAGGTCAAGTTTTTGCTTTACATCTGCATTTATAAGCGATACCTTGTACCAATACACTGTTCTCAATGGATAAGAAGGGCACAAAGGAACCAGTCCATTCCAGAGATGGTGGTCGCTATGCAAAAGCTTGCCCCGAATCACTAGGTATATGCAGCAAGGTATGACACGGAG